ATGGAAGTCATTCTGTCACTTGTCCATTCTGGATTAAACCCATATTCCACCCAGATCTGATCTGGAGTTAGATTTAACTATTAAATAAATAATTAAAAGTAATTAATCAATTTCTAATTAGGAAAGATTGTGGAGAAGCTTGTGGGTGTCAGCTACTAAAGATTCTGAATGAAAAGAATTATCTACCTGGTAGGATATTTCAGAGTAGTTGTGAATACAATGTCTATTTAACTTTAAAAAGGCATGATTCTTTGATTGTGTTTCTACCAGTGAGTCAATGAAAGATGAAGATTCCACAAAGAGGTACCAACACATGCAGCAGACATATTGGGCCTTTTGGTTTTAAAGGGGAAACAGGGTATATTTCTAATACATAAACTCAGGTTGAATCCCAGTGAACGGAATTGCTATTAGCTCAGAAAATCTTCAGGCAATTTCTGTTTATAGCTTCAGATACAAGTGCATTTCCCCTAAAGAAGATAGTCCACCATTTGGAAGCTTTCCTAGACTTGATATCCTGATGTACAGGTAGTCCTTGACTTACAACCATTTGTTTAGTGACAGTTCAAAGTTACAACTGCACTGAAAAAAGTGATTTATGACTATTTTTCACACTTACAATCATTGTTGTACCCCATGATCACGTGATCAAAATTTTGGTGCTTGACAACTGGGTCATATTTATGATAGTTGCAGTATCCTAGGTTATGTGATTCCCTTTTGCGACCTTCTCAGAAGCAAAGTCAATGGGGAAGCCAGATTCACTTTACAACTGTATTATTAACTTAACATCTGCAATGATTCACTTAATATCTGTGGCAAGAAAAGTCATAAAATGGGGCAAAACTCATTAATAACTGTCTCACTTAGCAATAGAAATTCTGGGTTCCATTGTGGTTGTAAGTTGAAGACTAGCTATATCAGCAAGTGAAGTTTAGAAGAATCTTTGCATGGCTTACACTGATATACTACTTGTGGTCTTTTCAGGAATGGGAGGTTCGGGTGATAGTGACTCATGCTTTATCATCTTGTATCCTGATTACTGAATTTAATTTTTATGGAACTATCCTTGAAGATGATTCAGAGTTATAGCTAATCCTAAAAACACCTTTTTATCTATTGACTAATGAGAGTTATTAAAACAAGTAATGGCATTGATTTCCAGTTTACTTTTCTACCCAATTCAAGCTCCTAGTAATTACCTATAAAACATTTTATGTGTTGCATTTTGATTGTATTCAACAGTGTCTACTCAAGTAGGATGTGCCCATCCTGCACAGGATGGCCAAGATAACCTGCTGAGACGTGGTAGTCTTGGGAGTTCATGAAATAAAAATTATTTGCCAAATAATTGAAAAATAATATAATACCACAAAGTGGTAGCAGCTGCAATGAGTAAATTTTTAATATGGTAAATATTGATCAATATAATTCATATAAACAAAAGCTCTTTTGGAATCTTACTTAATTTTTAAAAGTGGAAGTGGTCCTAAAAGAAAATTAAGAAACACTGCTGTAAAAGTTTAAAGATCCTAAATCTTAAGTTTAGGATGATTCCTTCCTATTAATATTCGACAAAAGCTGTCAAACAATATTGGGATAGTAACTCGTTTGGGTATTTTTAATTATTTACTGTTGCTTGAGAAGTGAAATATATTTTATATTATGAGATTTTATGATATTATTTTATAATTTGTTGGATTATAATTTTATATTGTATTATTAGCTGTCCCAAAGTTTTGGGCAGAGTTAGCATACAAATTATTGTATAAGTATAAAAATAAAGAAAAACCAGCAATCTAAAAAAAATGCTTGTTTTTAAAAAGTCTTACTATTACCTATACTAATTTAATTCTTCTGTAAGCATTTTAAATGTGATTAAGCCACCATTAATACCCAGGGTTACTCTGCCTACATGCCAAGTCTTATGAGTTCTGTGTCAGGAAAGACCAAGGAAAAACATGCTTAATAGTATTTGTATTCATTGCTCAAACTGCATCTTATTTCAGGAGGTGACCAAGATCTCACCAGAAAAAGTCTAGCAGTTGGAAAAATTCTACAGAACCCTCAGAAATTAGGTGGCTCAATTAATCTCTAAAGACCTATGCAACTGTTATATATGAGGGTTTAAATGGTTAGTTATACAGCTTCCTCCAATGAATGACATAATGAAAGTCTTCCTTTGAAAGCTGTAACATCATTTTATATAAAGCTATACTTTGCAGATTTTGTATTGTGAAAATATTTTGTTCTCTCGGACTAAAGAAAGTCAGAAATAAGAAATCATTTGATGGACATCTAGTTAAGTTCAAATTCAAAACAGAATGCTAATTACCAGATTTCTACTTAAAAAAAAGAATAGATATGGACTTCCGATAGAATATGGCCAACTGAGTACTCCTTGGCGAAGATCTCCAGGGCTCATTTTTTCCAGCTGAAGAACTCACCAGAGACAGGAAGAGTCCTAGAAATCAGCCTCCAAAATCGTCTACACAACCGCAGTTTGTGAGAGTTGGCTGATGAGTCATCAGCTAGGAGGCAGAACTAGCAGTTTGTTGCAGCGGGAAAAAAATCAAACTATTTTTTTTACAAAGTATTTCTTTTTAAAAAAACAAACAATAGGCCATGTCTTCTATATCTTAATCATCTTATTTTGATTATTTATCTTTATTGATGCAAAATATTATTATTAATAATAGTTGTTGTTGTTGTTGTTGTTGTTGTTGTTGTTATTATTATTATTATTATTATTATTATTATTATTATTTGGAAGGGACCTTGGAGGTCTTCTAGTCCAAAGTCTGTTCAGGCAGGAAACCCTATATTATTTCAGACAAATGGCTGTCCAGTCTCTTCTTAAAAACTTCCAGTGTTAGAGCATTCACAGCTTCTGGAAACAGGTTGTTCCACTGATTAATTATTCTAATTGTCAGGAAATTTCCCCTTAGTTCTAGGTTGCTTCTCTCTTTGGTTAGTTTCCATCCATTGCTTCTTGTCCTGCCTTCAGGTGCTTTGAGTCCCTCTTCTTTGTGGCAACCCCTGAGATATTGGAATATTGCTACCATGTCACTCCTAATCCTTCTCTTCATTATACTAGACATGCACAATTTCAGCAACTGTTCCTTATATGTTATAGCCTCCAGTCTCCTAATCATCTTTGTTGCTCTTCCTGTACTCTTTCTAGAGACTCAACATCTTTTTTTACATCATGGTGATTAAAACTGGATGCATTATTCAGTTCACGTGATGTTGATTCTATCTCTCTCTGTTAATACAGCCTAGCACTATGTTGGCTTTTTTGGCAGCTGCAGCACACTGCTGGTTCAGATTTAAGTGATTGTTTCTAGGATCTAGAGATCCCTCTCACAATTACTACTATTGAGCAAGGTATTACCTATACTGTACCTGTGCATTTGGTTTTTCTTGCCTAAATGTAGAACCTTACTTTTTTCACCATTGAATTTCATTTTGTTTGATAGCGCCCAATGTTTAAGTCTGTCAAGATCCTTCTGTATCTTATGCCTATCTTCTGGAATGCTGGCCATTCCTGCCAGCTTGGTGTTGTCTGCAAATTTGATGAGTTCCCCATCTATTCTCTCATTCAAATCATTTATGAATTGCTGAAGAGCACTGGGCCCAGAACAAAGCCTGAGGAGTCCCCCACTACACATTTCCCTCCATGTAGATGCAGTTCTATTGAGGATCACACGCCGAGCATGGCCAGTCAGCCAGCTACAAATCCATCTGATGGTGATGCTGTCTAACCCACATTTTTCTATTTTATCAAGTAGATAGAGGTTACACTGTGCTATTCACTTTTTGAAGAGCTGTGCCATTTTAGAAACATCACGAATGCTAATTGAGGGGGAGGAACACCAATGATAAGCTAAAATAAGGAAGCTTGGAATAACTTTATTTTTATAATCTGTCTCTGAGAAACATAATGATTTAAATTTTTAAGACACAATTTTGCCTTTCTCTATGAATCTGCCATGCTCATTTGATAATAGGATTTATAACTCATAACCCTGAGGTGCTTGTTGTGAGAGAGTAAAAGCTTCCAACCTTAACTGAATCTGACTGGTTAAGATATCATTTCATACTTGTAGGTCTGCCACTTAAAAGATTTGCTCTTCGACCACAAGAGGGAGTCAAAGAATATAAAAGAGTGGGAAAGCCAGGATCGATTTAATAAACAAGGTGAATATCAAATTACAAAGGAGGAAGCCAACAAATGGAAAGGGATCTTATTTCTCACAATAGAAAGGTAGATGGAATAAAACAATAGACTTGGTGGAGATGGCAAAGCCAACTGATGTAAAAAACAGAGGAATTCCTTTAGTTTTGTTCCCATTTGGATTTTATGCTCCATACAGAACAAATAAATGAAACTTTAGGTTAAGGATTGGTTTAATTTTGCAGTTGTAGAAATGTCTTGTTATTACCTGAAGTGCAAAGCAAAAAGCTGAGGCTGTAACTGAATTTGTGTCATACTTAAAAGAGTTGGAAATCACTGCTTTTTTCTTCTTTTGCTCCTATGCCCTCTTTCCCCTTTTTCTGATTTTTATTTTCATTTCTATTTTATACTACAAAATATTTTAATAAAATTCCTTGAAAAAAATGAATAGAATATAAAATAGAACATTTACATTCCACATGGCCAGTGCAAAAGAAAAATGATACAGATGTGAACCACCAATCCCAAAATGATAATGTTCAAAATATATTTTCTAAATATAAGGAAACTTCTACAAATGAATCACAATCTACAAATGGTACGTTTTTCATTAGAAAAGGGGGGAAATTCTCCTTAGTAATTAATAATTTTATAATTGAAGCAGATCGTTTTAGTTAATGTATCATGTGTTATACAAATATATATTGCACTGTTTTGTTCAAAAAGCTAATAATCTAAAACAATTTCTAGTTTTCATTTTTTTATGGATCAGAGCAGGGCGGTAACAAAATTAAAACTCACTAAAAGGGTTGGAGGAACTTACCAGAAATATTCTTTCAAGCTGATCCTGAATATCTTTCATTCCTGGAAAAGCAGCAACTCCTTGAATCATTTCCACAAAAATGCAACCAACTCCCCTAAAAAACAAAGAGTATAAAATAATTACAGGGAGTACATACCCTGCAGATACGTTATATGGGATTCTTCAATATAAGTATGGGGAAATTACTGTTATTGCCTCTGAAAAACTCAGAACTGCCTTTTTACAAAATAGCTTCAACTATAGCAAGTATTTCTGTTCACAAAATTATATTTGCTAGAGAAATAAGAAACTTGCTCTGCATGTTACCCTAAGAATTCCTTGAAAAAAGATTTGGGATACATGTGAGATTGAGATTGAGTACACTAGTATCAGAAGAGACAAAATAAAGAAAAACTTTATAACCACTGTATTTTACTGATACTGGATGTGGCTCACATTTTATTTATTTATCTGTATATGTCTACAGCAACTCAACTGGAACTTTACGGAACACTCCTAAAGACAACTTTATTCAAGTAGAGTCAACCATCTGCTAAGACAACCATATATGAACCAGTGTTTGTAGATAATTCTCTAAATCAGGGGTCTTCAAACCTGGCCCTTTTATGACTTGTGGACTTCAACTCCCAGAATTCCTCAGCCAGGCACGCTGGCTGAGGAATTCTGGGAGTTGAAGTCCACAAGTCATGAAAGGGCCAGGTTTGAAGACCCCTGTTCTAAATCGTGGAAGCAAAATGGTTGTTTAATACTGATTTCAGATTGTTTCTTTTTTTCTAACAAAGAGTATTGTTTCATGGCATAGACCAGTGGTGGCGAACCTATGGCACGGGTGCCAGAGGTGGCACTCAGAGCCCTCTCTGTGGGCACGTGCGCTGTCGCCCCAGTCCTAGGCCTTCAGCTGGGTTTTATAAAACCTTTTCGCTTTAGGCCTCCGCTGCCGTGTGCAAAAAAAAAAAAGGTTCAATCAATCAGTCAATTTCAACGTTACCACCGCAGCCATGCCCACCCAATGGGCCATACCTCCAATTGGCCACACCCAGCCAATGGGCCACACCCACCCGGCACCTGACGATGCATAAGTGGGTCTTGGGTTGCAGTTTGGGGACTCGGTCTCTAAAAGGTTCGCCATCACTGGCATAGACATTCATGATCTTGTACAAAGACCTAATATTGGAATGAAAAATGAGAGAGCGATCTTGGCTGAGACATCTGTTACCCCTTTGATTACCAAGGTTGATTCAGCTGATCTGGCTGACTAGGCACATGTCCCCTTCCTCCTTCACCACTCAATGCGCGTCCCTCCTCTTGGTGAAAGAGGACAATTATCCCAGCTATAAGGAGTGTACATCAGGGGTCTCCAAACCTGGCCCTTTTATGACTTGTGTACTTCAACTCCCAGAATTCCTCAGCAAGGCACGCTGGCCGAGAAATTCTGGGAGTTGAAGTCCATAAGTCATAAAAGAGCCAAGTTTGAAGACCTCTAATGTACAGTCATGAAAAATATTTTTTTAAAAAATTCTTGAATTGAACTACAAATTTAAGAGGCAAATTTATATGCCATTGTCATTTTTAAGATAGCACAAATCATTACAAACTGCTATTAGAAATTGCCATGAAATGAAGTGATTCTGTGCTTAAAGAACAAAGATGATATATATGTGTATCTTCTTGAATGTATACATATCACACCATCCTGAGGCTTCTTTTAATTTCCCATGACTATGTAGAATATCCTATTCACAATTCATCAGTAATCAGCTTCAGCAATGCTTTTGTATAAAATTAAGCTTAATATGGAGGTCACTAAGCATTTAAAACAAAAAAACAGGCACCCCACCACACAGCAACAAAAATCACAATCTCCCACAAGAAACCGGACCATGTCTCAACAACAACAGCCAGTCAGCCAAACAACCCAAAACCAGACCATGACTCAGAGGCAACCAAACGAACAAGGACCATTTGCATCACACAGACAATACCTAAACACCAAAGACTATGGCCTAGCCATAACAACCAACCAATCAAACAGCCCAAAACCAGACCATGACTGAGAAATATCCAGACAAATAACACCCACACCAATTTACATCAAACAAAAAGATCTTTAAAGGCCAGTGCTCTGACAGATGAGCACAATTCAAACCACACTGAAAATGTCCCCCCGAATGGAGACAAAACGTTTGCAGCCAAATTGCCAATCTCAGAGATCAAACCAACAGCCCAACTACCAACGCGAGCTACTAATATTCAAACACATCTCAACCACCTTCGGGCGTCCAATGCTCAAGCTGCTCGCCGCTGGGAGACCTTCACCTGCAGAGAAGCCTCCACATGCGAGCAACTATTCTTCCTTCATGAATGCCTACGACGAAACAAACTCCCTTGAAGCGTTAACCAATCAATCATCCAGCAGCATGAACAACAGCAAGACATAACGGTAAATGCATGGTCCGACTGATGATAACAGATGCTTATAACCACCTGAACAAATATATAAAATGCCTCACTGAGCAAAAGCTCCTATGCAACAACACCATTGGACCACAAATCATGCAAAGCATAAACACAGCAATCGAATGCAGAACAACAAACACAAGATAAAAGAAGCTATCCAGACTAACAGCCAATAACTTCGACAACAACGAACAGGCCTGGATCAAGAACCTATCCAACCACCAACTCAAAAATGAGGAACAAGAAGTCCTGACACAAAGTCTCAATTTCAACCACAAAGATGCGCCAAACACAGAATTCCTAGCAAGCCTAGAATACGCCTTAAAACCGAAAGACGTCAGCAAAGAAGCCCAACAACAAATATGCCAGACTGTTGTCCCAATGATGAGACAAACAAAACTCCAGCATCTTTACAAAACAGGAACTACAAGCTATGAAATCCCTCAAAACAGAAAACAATATATCTACCTATAGACATGTCAACCGAGACCCAATGACAAAACTGACCAACAAGATCAACAAAACCCTTAAAAAGTTGCAGGAGCTGAATCAAATCACCAAAGAGGAATACTGGAGAATGAAAGCAACTGGTTCAAACATAGCATAGTTCTATGGTCTTCCAAAAGTGCATAAAGAAACCACCCCACTCAGACGAATTGTCTCACTCCTTGGCACACCTACTTACAACCTTGCAAAAGAAATAGGGAAATGCCTAAAGCACCTAATCGGCGATTCCCAATATTCCATAAGCAATGCCACACAATTCCTGGACAAGTTCAATAACCTACACACTGATGAAGATGAAACAATGACATCATTCAATGTTACCGCATTATTAACATCGGTGGATCTGAAACTAGCAACTGACCTAATCAAAGAACTACTGGATAACATACAACCACCAAGAGGACAACTAACAACAGAAAACACATGCAAATTCCTCCAACTATGCTTAACCACCTACTTCAAATTTGAGAGAGATCTATGAACAACTGAGGGGATCGCCTATGGGATCTCCTATATCTGGCCTGGTCGCAGAAGTCATCATGCAGAAAATCGAAGAAGTTGTACTTCCACAAATAAACCCCAAGCTATGGATACGTTAAATAGACAACACCTTTGTGACAATCGAGCGCAACCAAGTCGACCACACCTACCAAAGAATCAACAACATCTTCACAGACATCTGATTTACAATAGAAACTGAGCATAACAACGAACTGCCATTCCTGAACGTCCTTGTAACCAGAACCATCAATGGCCAATTTCTAACATCCGTGTACAGGAAGGCAACACATACAGATCAAATCCTCATCTTTCATAGCAACCACACCAAATGCCACAAACAAAGCTGTGTCAGAACACTGTTCGGGAGAGCAGAATCCCACTGCGACACCACGGAAGCCAGATCAGCAGAATAAAAACACTTATACAAAATGGATATCCATGAAACTTCATCTGGAGATCACAACACACAATCAATAGAAACACCCAAAGGAACACAACAACTACAACAGGAACAACAATGACCAAACGAATCACAATTCCCTATGTACAGAATGTTTCAGAGATGACAGCAAGACTACTATGCCAACATGACCTCGCAGTAGCCCACAAATGAGCCTCTTAGACGGACCCTGTCAAAATCTAAGGAGCAGACAGAAATAAACCAAAGATCAGGCTCTCATATACTGAATCCAGTTTAGCAACTGTGAAAAGAACTACATGGGCCAAACAGGAAGAAAACTATCTACCAGACTGCACGAACACTGGCTATCAAAACACATGACCCACGATCCTTCATGTCTATCCACAAAGAAGGACACAAGTTTGATCTAACCCAGGGATAGGCAACCTTGGCTCTTTTATGACTCGTGGATTTCAACTCCCAGAATTGCCTACCCCTGATCTAACCCAAGCGAAATCAAGGGGAGAAAGAGAATTCCTTGAAGCCTGGTTGTCCACCAGTAAGTCAATAAACAGACACACTGACAACGACCCAGTCTACCAACTGCTGAGAACGAAAGAACTACTTCAATCCCGAAAGCAGCATTTAAAGCAAACAACAGGCACCCCACCACACAGCAACAAAAATCACAATCTCCCACAAGAAAACCGGACCATGTCTCAACAACAGCCAACCAGCCAAAACCCCCGAAACCAGACCATGACTCAGAGGCAACCAAACAACCAAACAAACACCATTTGTATCACACAGATGATACTTAAACTCCAAAGACTATAGCCCAGCAACAACAACCAGCCAAACAGCCCAAAACCAGACCATGACTCAGAAATATCCAGACAAATAACAGCCACACCAATTTACATCACACAAAAAAATATTTAAAGGCCAGTGCTTTGATAGACGAGCACAATTCAAAGCGCACTGAAAATGTTCCCCCAAATGGAGACAAAATGTTTGCAGTTAAATCGTCAAGCTCTGAGATCAAACCAATAGCCCAACTACCAAAATTTCTATGAAAACTATTTCTGTAAACATTAGCAACTTCAATATCATCAAAAAAATTTTTTGCAATAATCCACCATTTTTTGGTATAAGAATGCTCCCCCCCACCCCACCGAATTTGATTTAGTGATTAAGGCTCCAGGCTAAAAACCAGAAGAATATGAGTT